GACTAAAATATTTTTTGTTATATTTCCTTCTGTTCTGGTTGTTCTGGTTTGCCTTGAAGTGTTTGGAAATTCTTTTAAAATTGCTTTGGAAAAAAGGTCATCCTCATATTTCCATGGAGTTTGGTCTTTGCAAATATTTTGTTCGCACTTTTGTAAAATTAATATTTGAACATTTATTATGCGTAACCCTAACCTCATCATTCAGGTAATGGTTGTGTGGGCTGAGCATAGGGCAGAGGGGGGGGGGGGGGGTGCTGAGAAGGCAATTTGATTGAGAAACATTTTATTTTTTTGCTTAGGGGTGGTGAGGGGGGTAAAGTTTAAAATTCCATGGTGGTTGGGAAATATGAGTGAGGACTTTTAGAATTGGTAAGTTTACAGTCGGTTGGTTGGAAATGGTGTAGCGAATTTGTAATGGAGTTTTATTAGATTTTATGGTTGTTTTTTAAATTGTTTGGGAGTTATTTTTGAATGCAAAAAAAAAAAAAAACAATTGAATAATTCATGAATTTAAAAAAGTGGTGCATGGTGGTTGGAGCATCTGGCAGTGATTCTGGATTCTTGACATTATTGGTAAGTTTCGGATTTCCTTAATCATAGTTTGAATGTCCTCTGTGTAAGGAAGATTTGTAACTTCCCCTATTACTCTTCCACCTATTCCTTCTGTGAATAATATTTTTGGAGGTCAGTTGACAATCATATGTACTGCAGGTTTCTGAAAAATCAATTTAATTAATACACTGTGAGAGCTCTCTCTTACAGATTTGCGTTTCAAAAATTGTACTGGAAGGGGACTAATGGTAAAAGCGTCAAATCTTGCCAGATATCCTTCAAAGTCATCACGTCTGCCAATCAGAAATTGATACTAGTTTTCCATCGGCCATATTTGTTAAGTAATATTTAGGCGAGACGCCGTAGAGTGATTGGTGAATTGGAAAAATATTTCCTCACCCGTACAGGGTGCGATGAAAAACTGCCAACAACTTCAGACCGATGTCATTTCTAAGCCACTCGTCCGACAGCTATTAAAATTATTCCAGTGACAACTCATTATATTGTTTACAGGCCTACAAAAGCATTTTGGTGAGAATTTTCCAGAAAAAAAGTTATTCGTGATGAAATTCAAGCGTAATAGTGTGATGTCTTTATATTTGGCTGGAAAACCACAAGTGCTTGTCGTTAGAGCACTCCAGCATTTAAATGTGAATAAATGTTTTGTGTGTCGTACCATCGCTCGTTAATGTGATACTGGTAGCGTAGCCCGACCTCAAAGAAGTGGACGGAAGAAAACCACAACATCAGCAGAAATGGTTCGAAAAGTAATGAAGAGACTTGATCGAAACCCGCGTCGCAGTGGCCGAAAAATGGCTCGTGAACTAAACATATCGCAATATTCCATTCGGCAAATATGGAAAAATGAGCTCGGGGTAAAGCCATTGAAATTCCAAAAAGTGGAAGAACTTACACCGCAACAGAAAGAAAATAGACTCAAAAGAGATAGAGAGTTGCTTCGCTTGGCCGAAAATGGTGAACTGTCGAATTGGGTTTTTTTTCCGATGAGAAAACATTCGTTGTCCAGCAGTTTTTAATCAAACAAAATAATCGTGTTTACTTGCCAAAGAGGTCAGCTGAAAATGTGCACATTCGGTTGGCCACCAGAACTCAGGTGCTGGTCATGATGATGGTGTGGGCCGCCTTAACAGCCAATGGTCGGGTGTATTAAAGCCTTGGGCATGCAAACATTTTGGCCGCAGACCTTGGACATTCCAACAGGACTAAGCACCATCGCACTGAGCAAGCGCCACCCAAGAATAGTTACAAAATGAAATTGCTCGCTTCATTTCCAGCGCGCAATGGCCACCTAAATCTCCGGAAACCAATCCGATGGACTATTGTATCTGGAATATTTTGGAAAGCAAGGTTGGCACTAAAAATACCAAAGTGTCGATCACGTCAAGCAAGCGCGTCGCCTAGAATGGGCCAAAATACCGCAGAACAACATTCGGGCAGCGTGTGGCTGTTTCATTGGCCGTTTGAAGGACAATTTGAACAAATCAAAACTTATTCTAAAATCTGATGCTAATTCCGACATTTTTGCTTTCATTCAATAAAATGGAAAACAAGTAAGCTAAAGCTATGGTCGTGCGGGGACGACCATTTGATACCCTACAACACTTCAATATGTTCGAAGCCCCCTTATATCCAAATTCATTTTGGAAGATTTCGTTTTTGAAATAATGTCAAAGAGCTCTGTCCAAAGGTAAATATCTTCTTCTCTGTCCTTAACACTCTTCTGATGTGAAATTCCGTGTCGATTAGTTTTCAATTGTGGCCTATAGAGCGACTACAAAATTAGAAAAAATAAGATTTTTTATACCATTTGAACCTCTAAATGTACATCTTAAGAACAATAGACTTTAGTTCTGACACTAATCCTACCCCTATGCCAAATTTCGTGAGAGTCGGACGATAATTGCGGCATGCATATAATACCCTCAAAACGTAGTGTTGCAGGGTGTAAAAATTTAGAAAAATTACAATTCAAAATTGTAAGTCAAATTGCATCGCATGCGATAAAAAATATGACAAAAATTGAAAAAAAAAAGAAAAAAATGGAACAAAAAATATTTACTTTTTTATTGGTTTATTTTGCCGCGATTTTCTTAGATTTTATCATATTCTGGCAAGAGATCTTTCCGAATTGATGGGAATTATGCAAATCGGCCCAACGGTTCTTGATTTTTAAGCAGAATAACTAGACCCAAACCCCACCTCCATTTTTCATTTCGTGAAGATCGGTTCATAATTGCGACCTGTAGCTTGATTACAAATTAACATGGCCAGACGGACGGACGGACATACATAGCTAGATCGACTGAGCTCGGCGAGATAGGAAGATCCATATATACTTTCCTATGTGGGAAACCAATGTTACATTATTTTTGGCCCAATCAAACTTATAATACCCCCAACATATAGTGTTGTAGGGTATAACAATGTAAAAATTATGGCGTTTGACTTTGTTGCAGGTTTTTTTTATCTCACTCTGTATACCACAAACCACAGGATTCCTGGGAATCTTGATACGAAAATTAAAAAAAAAATGTGGAAGAGGGCGAACTTACCTCCTCTATTTATGTTACTTTGCGATGTAAACTTTCACAACGCCTTGTCTCTGGATCTGACTTTTTTTATTAGCTCTACTTTCATAATCTGCTGAATTTCCACTGTAATTATTTTTTGTAGCGCAGTATTATTTATTTAAAGTTCCGAATAAATACTAGTCTTAATGCTCCACGTTTTCTTAAAGTCCCTTATTATTGTACTTCTCGATATTTGGCATTTTCTTAAGGAATTGGACATTTAGGGATGTTGGACAAAATCATTTTTGAACGGAAATAGTGGAGAATATCAAAATTACGATTCAGCCAAACTTAACATAAGCCAAACCATATGGTTTCGATTTAAGTCAGGGTTGAGGACATACATTTTTGTTTTAATAGTATTCAACTTTCCTTTTCTTTGTAAGGACCATTCGATTAGGAACATAATTTTTATACCCTACATCACAAGGTGGTCAGGGTATTATATCTGTGTGCATTTCTTTGTAACAGGCAAAAAGAAGCGAGATAGACCCATAGTTCCTTTTGATGATCTGCTTAGAATCACATTCTGAGTCGATTTATGCATGTCCGTCCGTCCGTCTGCCCATGTATTTTTGTAAACAGAGTTGAGTTCGCATTTATTGGCCTATCCAGATGAAATTTTGCACAAATCATTTGTTTGGCCCAAGGACGAACCCTATTGAAATTGGAGATAATCGGTCAAAATTTAGATTTAGCTCCCATATATATCTTCTTCGGATTTGCCTTTCATTGTGCACCAAACGTCTAATATCAGCCCGAATAGTATGAAATTTTGCACATACAACCAAATTAGGCCTGAAAAAATGTATGCCAAATTCGATCGAAATCGGTTCAGATATAGCTATAGCTCCCATATATACTGTTCATCCGATTTGTTATATTTGTTACCCACAGCCGTAATATGCACTCCGAAACAACAATTTTTAGGGAAATATATTAAATACAGCTTAGAAATATCTTTAACAAATTTTATCGAGATCGGTTCCGATTTGGATATAGCTCCCATATATAACTTCGTCCGATTTACTAATATTTCTAATATTTGTCCAAATGGGATGGAATTTGGCACTTACGACCGAATTGAGTATAGAAGCTAGTATGTCAAATTTGGTGAAGGTCAGTTCAGATATAGCTATAGCTCCCATACATATTGTTCATCCGATTTGTTATATTTGTTACCCACAGCCGTAATATGCACTCCGTAACAACGATATTCAGGGAAATATATCAAATGCAGCTCAGAAATATCTTTGCCAAATTTTATCGAGATCGGTTCCGATTTCGATATAGCTCCCATATATATTTTTATCCGTTTTCAAATTAATTTTGCACCAAATGGGCAATACAAGTCCGAATTTAAAAGATACAAATGCTTCGGCATATTTAGTCCTTTGAACTTTAAATTATAATTATAACCATAGCGTGTATGATTGAATTCTCCCATGAAAATTTTTGATTGTTATGCGGAGCCCCCACTAAATTAGCAAAGTGGTGTAGGGTATCATATAGTCGGCCCCGCCCGTATTTAAGACTTTCTTTATTGGTTGTTATTGACATTGATGACTTTCTTAGGAACCTCAGCAGAATTCTGCCAAGAATTCCTTAATCAGAACTAAACTTTCCTTTTTCCGTCTATTTTTTTTAGTAATTTCTCTCTTTCTCCCTCTCCCACTCTCAAATCTTCTTCTCAAATTACTCTTCCACAAACTCTATTTTTAGAAAAAAAAATTATCCAGTCTAATTTCCCTATTAAAATAACTTCGAAATTACCCTCAAAGATTAGACACTTCACAAGTAAAGCCTTGTCAAGTTTAGCAAAAATAAAGTAATTTATTAAATAATTTCTCCACTTACCTTTTCTTACAGACACCAATGCCATGGACGATGTGTCATCGTTCATGTCAGGAACATTTGAAGTTTGTGATATGTGGTTGTTAGAGATAACTTCATTATTTGTCACTATTTCTGCCATCCGGCTTGTCTCCAGATCAGTAGTCGATGAAGACGGATTTATAGACTTCCTTGAAGACAAGGAAAAGTGTTGTCCTTCATGTTTGTCATCATCATGGCAAAGATTTAAAACACTATTATTTGCTTGTGGTTTTTCCGCCAATTGAAGTTTTTCTCCACCATCATCTCCAGCTCCAACTTTTCCTTCAAATTCTTTTTCTTTACTTTTCTGGCTATGAAAATCTTCTGGTATTGGAAAATCCTTTTGTATGAGAACTTCTTTTGGTGTCGCAACTTCTTTTTGTCTACGAAATTCTTTTTGGTTTTCCTTTCCGTTTGTTAGCTGACAAGAAATGTCATCAACACAATCGACATCACCATACCAATTAGTTGGATTAACAATGGCCATGGCAGCCATACTGCTATCCCCCCGCCTGGCCTCAGACTCCTCATTAGTGGAAGGACTATGGTGGTGGTCCTCATCATTATCATCATCCTCATTATTATCCTGAACATTGGTGTTATTTACTTTTTCGTTTTCTTCTTCATCATCTGCTTCGTCTGCTTGTTGTTTTGTGTTTTCTTCGGCTCCATTCTCCCATTCCAAGTCCGGGCAGCTCGGAAGGGCATCTTGCACATTTGCAGGATTTACGAGGTTTCCTCTTTGTCGAATATAAAAATTGGAGGCCGGTGGGGGCTGGAGAGGCTGTTGCTGTTTTCCGTCGTGATTGTAATGGTAATGATGAGGATTGTGGGGGAGGGATGGATGGTGTGAGAGGTGTTGGTGTTGTTGCTGCTGTTGAAGTGGCCCAAACGAAACACGTGAATTATTATAATTGTTGTCCAAGGTGGTTGTGTTGCCACTTCCACTCGCATGTTTTGTTGCAGGAGTAGTTCCAGTATTTTGGGGGCTAGAGGAGCTGCTCTCCAACAAATGTTGCCTTAATTGATGCTCTCGTATTAGACGATCTCTTTCCAGGATATGGTGAACAAACAAGGATTGTTCGCCATAGTAGGAGGAGGGCGAAGCAGTAAAGGAAGCAGGAGTATGCACTTGTCCTTGTTGTTGTTTTGGAGTAGGCATCCCCGCCACATGAGGATGCTGGTAATGTTGTCCATGTCCATGGCGATGATGTTTGTGAGCAGTTTCCTTAACTTTCATCGTCTGTGCTTTGTTATTGATTTTCTTTTGTTTGGTTGCCGGCTGGGAACTCTGGGTTTCCATGGAAATAGTTGTTGCTTTAGCAGCAGCAACAGTCACATCGAAGGCAGCGCCGCTGTCTGCTTTGTTGTTTTCATTCTGGGTTAATGACTTTCTTAGATTCTCCAAGTCAGACATGCCAGACTGTTTTATGCATTTCGTATGCCACACAGACGGGGCAAGTAATTTTTTGTCCTCCACTACCTCCCTCTGCCCCATGGCCATGTCATCATCTGCCGTGGCCGCAGCATCTGTGTCTGTTTCATTATTTTGGTATGCCACCTTGTCTCTGGGTGGGTTAGGTGTTGATGCTGAGGCTAGTGACGTTGTATTGGCCAGTTTGTCGACACTTTTACCAAAAAATGTGGAATGTCCAATATTTGCTAAATTTATGTTGTTAATTACCTCCGACGGCAGGGAGAGGATGTTGTGGTAGGGGGTGGTGGTGGTGGGAGCGATTGATGATGAGTGAACATTCGTAGATGTTGTTAACAAATCTGGTACCACAAACGTAGCTGCGGTTGGACGTTGTGCGAAAGGATCACAACCTCCTTGGCTGGTGCTGAAAGGCAAAAGAAATGCTGCCGGCAACAAATTGTGCGGAGATTGTGGTGGAGTTATTTGAGATTTCAAATCACGTTCGGTGGTATTTTGCATTGCAGATTCTAGGGGGAACCATGTGTCATTTGTCATGGACGCAGGCTTGATTGGAGCTATGCAAATTGGCATCAGATTGGTGGCCAACAATTGGGACCAGGTCAACAAAGGACCTTCATTATTTCGGAAGTTGTGAGGCGTGGAATTAAAGCCATTTAATTGGGAGCCAAAATTTCCCGACGAATTTGGAAAGCTTGGGAAAGTGAGAACTCCATTTTCAGGTTGACAATTACCTTTTCTCCTTGTATTCTCCTTTGAGGGGTTTGGAGATTTGTCAATTTTTTCTCTGGACCTCTCATCCAATTTTCTCTCCGCCGGCCTTGGAAAGGCTTCATTTCCTTTAATGACGGCCTGCTTTCCTCCCTCCCGTAAATATTTCAGCATATCCTTGACTGTGTTACCATAGGCCCTATCGATTTCTGGCACCACCGATTTCGGTGTCTTGGAGGGAAATTTTAAAACCGGTTCTTTGTCTCTTGACATTGTTTGGCACATCAAGGATTGGCTATCCAAGGGATTGAGATTCATATCGAAATTATTTTCGGCATTTGAATTTAAATTTGCATTGGAGCGGTGTACACTTGGTATGTTCTGATAGTATGACGTCAAAGGATATTCACCAAAGGCTTGTGGATTTGTCTCAGATACTGGAAATTCGGTTTTAAGCGGCTGATATGCAGCATGATTTTCATAGTTTTGATAATCCGATATTGTAATAATGTCATTTTGATTTTTTTGAAAGAAGTTTTCTTGCGCGGTTCTGGCATTCAATTGATATCCCTCATTCTGGTTGTCACAGAAGTTGTATTCTCCAGGATTTTCATCCTCTTCGTAATTTGGTTCTTCTTTAATGCCATTGCATAACTTCATTTCCTCGGATATTTTCATTTTGCGGACTTTTTGAGTTATTTATTCTTTTGAGAGGTAAAAGTGATTCATAATTGCCTGGAAGAAGATGGGAAAGATTTTTGTTAATTGATTTCGTAAAACTAAATTACTATCTTGAAATATACAGGGTGAGATGAAAAAAACTGCAACCAACTTCAGATTGCTGTCGTTTCTAAACCACTCGTACGACAGCTGTTAAAATTATTCCAGTGACAGCTCATTATATTGTTTACAAGCGTTCAAAAGCTTTTTGTGAGAATTTTCCAGAAAATGAAGTTATTCGTGACGGAATTCAAGCGTGATCGTGGGATTTCTTTATATTTGGCTGGAAAACCACAAGTGGCTATCGTTAGTGCAATCCAGCATTTAAATGTGAATAAATCTTTTGTGTCTTGTATCATCGCTCGTTACCGTGATACTCGCAGCGTAGCCCGACGTCAAGGAAGTGGACGGAAGAAAACAGCAACATCAGCAGAAGTAGTTCGAAACCCGCGTCGAAGTGGCCGAAAATGGCTCGTGAGCTGAACATATCGCAATATTCCATTCGGAAAATATTGAAAAATGAGCTCGGGGTAAAGCCATTGAAATTCCAAAAAGTGGAAGAACTTACACCGCAACAGAAAGAAAATAGACTCAAAAGAGCTAAAGAGTTGCTTCGCTTGGTCGAAAGTGGTGATCTGCCGAATTTGGTTTTCTCCGATGAAAAAACATTCGTCGTCCAGCAGATTGTAAACAAACAAAATGATCGTGTTTACTTGCCATAGAGGTCAGCTGAAAATGCGCACCTTCGGTTGGCCACCAGAACTCAAGCGCCGGTGATGGTGTGGGCTGCCATAAAAGTCGATGGTCACTCTCCGAACGTGGCATCAGAATAAATGCCCAATATTATCGCGAAAATATTCTGGAGGGTGTATTAAAGCCTTGGGCAAGCAAAGATTTTGGCCGCAGACCTTGGACATTCTAACAGGACTCAGAACTATTGTACTCAGCACGCGACACCCAAGAATGGTTACAAAATGAGTTTCCTCGCTGCATTTCCAGTGCACAATGGCCACCAAAATCTCCGGATATCAATCCATTGGACTATTGTGTCTGGAGTCTGGAAAGGAAGGTTGGCACTAAAAAATACCAAAGTGTCGATCACCTCAAACAAGCGCTTCGCCGAGAATGGGCCAAAATACCGCAGAGCAACATTCAGGCAGCGTGTGACGGTTTCATTGGCCATTTGAAAGCCATAATTCGTGCCAAAGGTGACCAATTCGAAAAATCTAAACTTATTTTTTAGATTTGTTTTGCTTTTATTCAATAAAATTAAAAAAAATTTAAAAATTATGGCGTTTGACTTTGATGCAGTTTTTTTTATATCACCCTGTATAGCAATGATACAAGTATTAGAATTTGCAAAGTTTGCACCAAATCGGATGATCCTTTCATGTTCTATGAGATAAATTGCCTCTTTGTGGGGAAGGTACCAGAAAAAGTGGACCAATCTCGAATAACTCCGAACAGGATCTAATTTTGACAGTAATATTGCGAAGTATCAAGTATGGGCCAAATAAGATACCCATTCGAGAGTTATCGTTGGCATCAGTCAGCCAGAGAGACGGACGGACGTACGGCACCCCTAGATCCGCTACTGATTTCCTTAAACAGATTTGGTCCAAAGAGACCTAGTGTCTGAAATAGATATTTCGATGATGCACGTTTTGGCCGAATAAAATGATATATGTAGCCATATGGCTGAGATTATAAAAACCAAACTCCAAAAATATCATTTTTATGGCTTCTTAAAGTTCCTTGAAAAAAAAAAAGAAATTTACATTGAATTTCCTTCTAATCCTAATCTATTCCTGTATTAGCAAGACCATATTGAGGATCTGACAAATCCATACTGGGTGGCTGCTAAAGCCTTTAAAAAAATTCCCTAAAAAAGGAGAGAACAAATATTTTTGAAAAAAAGGTATTAAAGGCATTTCTAGTTTTGGCAAAACCTTATGAAAAAATCTTCTTAAACTTTAAGTGCAAGGGTATTCCAGTCTTTGTAAACTATTTTCTTAAAAAAAAATCTTTCGAATCTTGATACCCCTAAACTTTAATATGCTTCTGATTTTCTTTTTGAACAAATATTCGTTAAAATTTTTCTACTGGTAGCACTGATGGCCCTTGAAAAATAATTAAGGGCTTTGACGTTTCTAGAAAAAAATGTTTTTAGAAAATATTCTTCTCGTGTTTCTTGAAAATATGTTATTGAGAGTTTGACTCGAAAAAAAAAATATTCTCAAAAAAGTAACGATTGTTTTCTTCCAAAGTTCTTTCGTTGGACACGAAATTTTATTCGTAAAAAACCTTGTTGGAGGCTCTTCTAGTCCTTGCAAGGGTATTCTTAAAAATCTTCAATTCATGGCCCTGGTTAAAAAAAGCTGAAGGTTGTACTTGTCCTTGCAAATATATCCTTAAAATCTCCATGTTCGATGGCTTGACAAGATTTTGAAAAAATGATTTGATGTTTCTTGAAAAAGTATCCATAAAAAATCCAAGCTTTGTGCTTCTGATGGTCCTCAAAAACAATATTTTTAAAAAATACATTTTCATATCTATTAACTAAATATCCTCTGGATTTATCCCCTCACTCCTCACTTCAAAATTCGTAGTTTAAAATGAACAAATTACAAACAGAATTCGTAACATGTGTTATAGGCAAAATCCCGCCTCCATTTAAAAACCATATCTGTAGAAAAACATATCTATTAATTCAATCACTGATAGACCTCCCCCATCCCTTTCCAGTAAAAAAAAATCACAATGTTACATTATATTACCCTCAGCGAAAAATTCATAATCAATCAATGTCATAAATTACACCTATCAACAGAGACTCCAGCAACTGCCAACTGTAACAAATATGGCCACACAAAAATTGTGGGCCAATGATTATGGCGAAATCAAAAGCCTGGTCTAGAGGCTGAAGGCAGGACTCACAAAAAAACCAAGTAAATGCATCATCAATTGCCTTGGCTAAATGGCTGAGGGGAGTGATGGATGTAACGAATCCAATGCATAATGCAATTTTCCACGGACGGCCATAGCAACAAAAAACAATGCAAGCGGGAGCGCACGACCAACCCAAAAAGGGTTAGTCGGCAAAAGGACAAAGAAGGACAAACTGAACACAAAAAAAAAAACATCAGCTATCAAATTATCATGTTAATAATAGTTACGTTTTTTCAATGCCCAACGTTTTGGGGGTAAAAAAAAACTCTCAACCAATTGTTACATGGTAAAAGGGGTGCGGGGTGATGCCCAGCTAAATGTCCTTTAACTCCTTCCCCCTTCCTTACTTGCTGCTGTTGTTTTTTTTACATTTGTTCACTTTTTTGTGTTTACGGCCAGCCAACTGGTAACAAGTGTTAATAATGATGTCCTTGTTGTCATAACTATGTTCTTAATTGTGGGGTGTTAAAGGGTTAATTCCAGGCTTTTCATACCAAATAAAAAAAAAATAAAAGGATTTTTTTTGGTGTATTTTTGTCCTTTTTTCCGATGCCATTTTGTTTTTGTGTGGCGGCAGAAAAATTATGAGCTCTCTTGTTAGGACTCTATTAAAATATATTTAGTTCCATTGATGCACAGATGTTTGTGAAGGGATGATTTAGAAGTGATTCATAAATCATAGGAAAATTGAAATATTTTATTTTTCGATAGAATTGATTTTTTTTTTAGAAAAAGTTCCAAGAGAAAAAATTTAGGAAGACAATCAGAGCCATAATGTATAGATTTTGAGGGATATTTCTCAGTTTTTTTTTGGCTACTTTTTTTCAAAGGCTTGAAAGCTCTAAATGTGGACTTTAAATAAAATTTTTAATTTTTTTTAAATTTTTAATTTTTAACATTTTAAGGAAATTATTTTAGGATTGGAAGACTTTTTATAGCCTTTCTGTTACGATATTTAATTCAAAGACTAACCGAGCTCTAAGTTTGGACTTCTGAGAATATATTTGAAAGGGATGGAAGTACCTTCATGTTATGTTTAAAAGGACTAGAATAGACTTCCATTTTAATGTTGAAAGGATGAAAAAACAATAAGAGATGTGACTTCAACGTCGATTTATTACATACTATTATTCAAGGTCTAGGAGAGCCTTCCACTTGGATTTTTAAATAATATTCTTGTAAGGAGAAGTAAAGCCATCAAGGAATTGGATTTTTTTTTTTAATATGTTTCCAGGACATGCTGAGATTTATACGTGGATCTTTGAATATTTTCAAGGAAAAATAGAGATCAAAAAGGAAATTGTTTAAAGCATATTTTTACAAGGTCTAAGAGAGCATTTATTTTAACAATGCTTTTCCAAGGATTATATGGGTTCCATAGGAGGATTTTTTTTAAATTTTTTTGAAAGGACTAGAACTGCCCTAATTTTTTGCAAGGATATGAGGAGGCTACATTGCAGATTTTTCACCAAATATAGAAGAGTCGTTAAATAGCCTTCTATGTGACTTTTTTAATAAATATTTTTTTTTTTATATAAATATTTTTCAAGGACCACCGAACCTTTAAACGTTAATATTTTAAGTTTTTTTAAGGTCCCATAGAGTAGATTTTTTAAGATTTTTTTTTTCAAGGTCTTAAAAGCCATTATTGTTTAAGCATTTCTCAAAGGATCACGAGATCCTTCAAAATAGATTTAAAAAATAAACAAAAATTAAATAGCTTCTGTGTGGGGTTTTAAGTTTATATTTGCAAGGACTAAATGCTTCACGGTGGATTTTTTCGGAATATTTTTGCTAAGATTAGCGGAACCTTCAACTTGGACTTTTATAAGTATATTTCATTAAGAACCCAAAAAGAATTTAAAAAAAAATATTTTTGCAATAATAAAAAGGCATCTAAATGTGGATTTTTAAGAATATTTTTCCAAGGACTATAAAGGATCTTCTGTTTATATTTTGGACCTTGGATTTTCTAAGAAAATGTTAAAAGTTATAACATTTGATTTTACGTTGAATTGGTTAG